CATAATCAACTCCACCCCCCTTCAAAGAGCCTTCACTGTTTCTATTCCTTAAACCGCCTGGTATTATTTTAGTCTGTCATTTAAAAATAATAAAGTTAATGTTTATTTATGCTTTTCCATTTATGGGTACTAAATAGCAGGAGTACATACTACTACCTATAAATCAGAAAAGGGGGACATGTGAATTAGCAAACATACTGAAAAATGATCTTCATAGTTACAGAAGACAGTAAATCTAGACTTTTTTCTGTGCCTCTGGGAAAACAAACAGTCATAATAAAAATAAAGACAGATGTTAAAAGCAGAGGGACTGAAAAGTTATTACTGGTACATCACCATGCACCTTATTTGCATTGTTTATATTCTTAAAGGGCCCAAACCTGTGAAGTGCTGAGCTCAACTGGGAGTTCATGGGGTTCAGCAACCAGAAGCAGCTCAATACCTCGTAGGATTGAGCCCCAATGCTTTGCTTTTGTCAGTGTAAAATTGAGCTTAGCCTCTTCATTATTGCCTCTTAGAATACCTAAGCAGCCACACATCATAAAAGCTAACTCATAAAAAATGGCCTGAATATGTATCCTGGGTCATGTGCTAGTCTGTGCCGATGGAAGCAAAATGAACACATAGTAAGGGCCAAATTCAACCCATATGTCAGTGGACATACCTCCTCTGATGTTAGTGGTGTTTGGGCTGCTTCCCCAAGGCTGAATTGAGCATTCGTGCTACGGAAGTGGCAATAATGGGAATAGGAATTCTCTTGATAGCAGCAGCTGCACACACAACCTGCTCCATTTAGACAGATTATTCTTGCCCCAGGGCAAAACTAAACTGCACGATGTGTATGTGCATGTGTTTGTGCATGCACAGATGTCATTGCCAGCTCAGGGATGTATATACCCAAACATAAGGCGCACTCTCTGTCATGCCACCCCAAAACACACCTCTGTTACTACTGTGCAGGGCCCCTGGATCAACCTCTTTACTGCTTTTGAAGGACCCAGAATCAGAGGGAAGAGTTTCACCTCTCTTTCCCCACACTACAGCCAGTCCCGTCCCCCCAGGTGGCACCTATACGCAACACTCCACTAGGTCTGCAGCACTCAAGGGGTAAGTTATGGAGGGTGAGTGGCAAGGACATCAAGAGGAATGGTGTGCAGAAAGTGAGCTCAGACTATGAAAGAGATCCGCAGTGCAGCTCTGAGACGCTACTCTCATTCCCCTTTCATTCCAATGCTACGTATTGATGGGTTGTTCTCCGAGCCTCTCTCACTTTAGAACGAGGAGTACTTGTGGCACCTTAGAGACTAACAAATTTGGGTTTTAGCCCACGAAAGCTTACGCCCAGATAAATTTGTGAGTCTCTAAGGTGCCACAAGGACTCCTCGTTCTTTTTGCTGATACAGACTAACACGGCTACCACTCTAAAACTTCTCACTTTAGAGCGTCACACCTCATGAGCAGTTCGTGGAGAGGACCATAAAGCAAAGCAGAATGCTTCTCTCACCCAACCTGAGATTGAGACAAGCTTTCACACATGGGGTGGGGGGAAGCAATCCATTCTAATGCATGAGCAACGCTCAATAATTCATTACTCAGAGAAGCATCTTTTAGTAAGAATGGAAACAAACATAATTTCTGAGTACCACTCCCTCTGTCCTGACTAATAAGAATAGCCCAGTCTGAGCGGATGAGCTTTCCAGGGAGTTATTTTGCTCATCTGCATAGCAGCATTCTCTTCCAGAGCAAAAGGAGCGGCAGTTCTTTTCCCAAAACAGAAAAAACAAAACAAAAAAACCTGATAAGTGATTGACTGTAAAATAAACAAACAACAAATAAAAAATATTTTAAAAAATGCTGGTGCTATAGAATAGTTAACATGCTGTTAAAGTGTGTGTCATGGTGATTTACATAGAAATAGTCTACTTTGCAGCCCAAGAGACAACTGTAAGTTAGTGTAAACGTGTAGCCAGATGCATAGTCACTCCCTCGCTAATCCTGCGCTGCACTCTCTAGTTTATCGTTGTGCACATTCTGCAGCAGAAGGAATGAAAAAGAGGCATCGGTCTGTGGAAGTACACTATTAAATCAACCACTGAAAACAGACCTGAAATCAGCTCAGCCTTTTAACTTTTCTGTAGATTTTTATTTTCTTTTAGTCTTGTGGTTAAGGCAAAGCATTGGGTTCTAGTCCTAGTGCTGATACCGTCTTCCTTTGTAGCCCTGGGCAAGTCCCTTAACCTCGCTGCTTCAGTCTCCCAATCTGAGTGGGGATAGTAGTACTGCCCTACTGCACAGAGTGCTATGAGGATTAATTAATGTTTGTAATAAGGGAGTAGAGTATTGGCCTCATGAACTTTACACTGTCAAAGAAGCAAGGGGTGAAGGAGGGCTGTCGGGGATCCTGTTCCTTCTCTGTTTAGCCTCCTCTTAAGCCAACTACAGGATATAATGATCATTCCCCATTTTATATTGGGAAGAATTTTATACACACACACACGTGTACCACTTACATACACACAGCCAATCAACAGCAGGCCTCTGGGTACTACAGAAACCTGTTGCTTTCTGAATATGTTTATTACACAGAAGCCTGTTGAGTCTGACTTATTTGTGATAAAGGCTTGAAAAGTGAATACTGTTTTCTTCTGATGTGCGGATGTTAGCATACAGTGTTCATTAAAAGATATTCCAACAAGCTGCATTAACTGGATAACCCCAGTGATTAGGCTCAAACTTCTCTGATTTAGCCACATTTCTCACACCAGTATGTATAACAATATTTTTCTTCAGATCAGGAGGGCTGACATTACTCTCACCATGCTGTAGGGAAATATTAGTTTTAGACTGCTAATGTTTTATTTATTTTTAGTAAGCCTGGTATAGGGCAGAAACACAGGAAACGCAACCCAGACAATGACCACTGATCCACCTAGTCTAGTATTCTAGTTTTAAAAGATTAAGAGATTATGATCATTTAGTCTGACCACCTGCATTGCACAGGCCATACAAATCTCACCTAGTGATTCCTGAAGCAAGTCCAATGTGGTTGAACTAGATCATACATTTTAGAATGAGATTCGTTCTTGAGGTCAACCTTGTCATGGCTCCAGCACTGCTCTATACAAAACGATTCAAAGGAAAGTGAGTTCCTTCCCCTCCTCATCAATAGCATAACCAAACAATGTTGCAAATGTACAGGGCATGGGGAAATGGCGAATGGCATTCCTTCCTGACTCATGCTAGCAACCAATTTATGACCTGAAGAATAAGGATTATTATCCTTTGTAACTATTAACTCAGCCAGTGTAACAGCACTGAATGATTTATTAATGTAAACATACAATCCTTTTCCTTCCACCCACCCATATTTTACTAAACTATTCGTCTCAGGGAATTCTGTGGGTTGATTATATACAACATAAAAAGTGTTTCTTCTCTTCTGAACATGCTTTCTTTACATTTCAAGTACACCTCCTGTGCTTGTGTTAAGAGGAAAATGTGGTTGGCCTTCACTTTACCATTCATTATTTTAGATACCTCTATCATCTCTCTTCTTAATATCGTCCCTTTCCCAAACTAAATCATGCTAGACTTTTTAATCCCTCTTCATATGAAAGTTCCCTCCCCCAGTGCTTCTAATCATTTTCATTACCTTTCTCTGAAATGAGGTGACCAAAACTCAATGCTGAATTCATGGTGAAGTCATTCCATCAATTTACATAATGGCATTATAAAATTCCCATACGACTCCCCTTCTTCTACAGCCAAATGTTGTATTTGCTTTTTGGAGTGCTGCTGGACATTCAGCAGATGCCTTCATTAAACTGTCCTCTGTGACGTGTACACCTTTCTCCTGAGAGGTCTCAACTAACTCAGAACCCATCCGCGTGCATGAGTAGTTTTAAATTGTCCCTTCCAATGTAAATTATCTTGCAAGTCAATTCTGAGTTTTACTTGCCATGCTGTTGCCTAATAAACTAATTCTTTTAGATCTTTTTGGAGAATCTCTCACAATCATCCACAATTTTTAGTCTTCTAAATAAGTTTGGGCCTTCCAATAAATGGCGGCCATCTTGTTATTCACTATTCTACTCCTAATCCTAGAAGCACCTTGATATTAATGACTGTTTCTCAGAATGGAAAGACATTTATTCCTGCTCTTCACTTCTCAGCTCCTAAACAGTTTTTAATCCATGGCAGAATTTTATCATTCAACCTGCAGTTCCATAATAGACTATTGTAAGAGATGTCAATAGAAGCCTACTGAACGCCTACAAATATTGAATCCAATGCTTCTTCTGGACTCCTTATTTTGTTGTCTCTTTTCAAAAACCCTAGTGAGTTAGAGACATCCAGTTTATCCTTACAACAGCTGTGCTCTTTTGTGGTGGAAACACAGGAATTGCCATACTGGATCAGACCAGTGGTCCATCAAGGTAAAATCTGAACACAGGAAACCAAGGGCTCTTGTATTAACCCCTAACACTATCACTGTGGCAGTTAGCTGGAATTTCATTAGACTGTCCAGAGGTGCTCTCGGGAACAAGTTTGACAGATGGCAACCTATTTGTCTCTGCCTTTTACATCTCGGGCATCCAGACTTTCTAACAATCTCAAAGTCACTTCTGAAATGTAAACATAATAATAAAAAAAAACCCATTCAATTGCTATTAGCATCCACCTCTGAGGTACCTTTCTCTTTCCCATCCCTTCCCAGCTGAGCGTTCCCTTTTTTCCTAAATGGTGATTGCTTTGGTAATACCTCTGACCTTGACTTGTGCATGAGAGAGGGGGAGAGAGAACGCGTGCAAGAGAGACACAAAACTCAAGCCCTGGAAATCTGTTTATGTATTCTGAGAGCACATCTTCAGAGAGGGATGACTTAAGAAAGAGGGAAGCATGATGTGCATGCCAAGGCGAGCACTTCATGACTTATTTATAAGGGAAGGGGCATAAAAAAAATTGCTAAAGGAGAAAGAAGAGAGAAAAATCTGACTTACCTTGTCGGTGTAGACGAAGAACAGAATCACGATGGTGAGCTCCAGCAGGAATATAATTAACAGCATGATAAAAAACTGTCAAGAGAAGAGGGGACAGGGGAAGAAACAAAAACCCAGAAACATCAAAATCTGTTTCATCTTCCTCCTGCTGTACAATAATTACATTCGGCAGGTCATGCATGAAAAGGGGGCTTTTGTTTTATGGACAGCAGGGTACAGAGTTACTGCAAGCGAGGTGTTTGCACCATGCAGCATTGGAAAGCACACACAGGACTAGTCAGGGACACAGTATGTCCAGACACACACACAGCCTGCTTCTGCTCCTACTAACTTCAGTGAGAGCAGGGGCTTTTGTTTGTTTGTTTGTTTGTTTTGTTTAACCAAATCTTTGCAGTTAATGAAATGGCTTGGACATTTCTATTCTTCTCATTCCATACAAGGTGCTTCCCTCTCTGGAACAAGGAAGCCACAGGTCACTCCATTATGGCTACTGGGAAAGTGAAAGGAACATTTAAATGTTTGTGTACAAAGTTAGTATGAAGCCTTCTTCAGGCTAGGTATAAAAACGTCTCAAAAGTTTGAACTGGAAGGTGTCTCATTTATACTTATAGCATTTTTAAAAAATTGCTCAGTTTAGCTTCTTGGCTCTGAGGAAACATCCCATCTAATGCCAAAAATGGGATTTATAAAAGTATATGAATTCCTGGATTATGGATTTCAAGTAGGGGTCTCAAAAGGGCTCAGCTCTCATTGACTTCAGTGGGAACAGAGGTAGGCCAACACTGAGCACTTCTGAAAATCCCACCTTTCACATTTTGTGATGAGAAAAAAATGTTGCCACTCCAACTCTAGACAGGCTGTGGTGCAGTCATGGCAGAATGGCCCTGTAGAGTTAAGAGACTGAAGAGAGCTACTAAGCTATCTTTGTCTATCTCCAAGGTTTCCCTGCAATAAACAGGTCTGATGAAAAGTCCATTGAAGTAGACAGAAAGACTCTTATTGATTTCAATGGGCTTTGGAACAGGCCCTAATTAACAGTTCATGGTGTTATAAAAAGAGGATTATTTAGAAATCAGGAGGACGACATAAGATTGCTCACAGGCTCCACTGCCCCCTACAAGTTCACACACCTACCTACCTGCAAGACTAGAATTTTATAACTTTGATTGAATGTTTTGATTGAAACCTCCGTTTCAGAGGTGGAAAAAAAAATTTACTGCTCCTTTTGCTTCAGCCACTCAGCTGCAAACCTATAAAACTTCAATGGCTAAAAAAGCATTATCAGAGCTTTTCTTTGCCTGAAGAGTGGAAGCCAAACCTTTGAACCTATGAATTTCTGTGATAAAATAAAGGGCAAAAGATCTGGAGACAGAAAACAATTTTCCACCAGTACAATGGCACACATTTTGTTGCATTTGGCCCCAAAAGTCTTAAATTATGGTTTATTTTCACTTCTTCTTCGCTGGAATCTAAAGACTAGAGTGACCCTAGTACCGGAATCTACTTTCACCCAATTCTGGGTCAGGGCACCCATTCATGGCAGCAACCTCCCAGGCAGACCTCCTTGTCGTTATCATCCAGAAATTGGATGAATTGGTGAATACCAGCCCATGTGTCATTGGTCTTTAATACTGCGATTTCAGATTGCAGCATAGTATTCAGTGAGCAGGGACAAAGTATATCACCATGTACTTGAATGCCGTGGTACTGCAAGAACACTCTGTTCCTTGATACCTACCTCCACTGGGACATGTCACCCCTCATTAGAGATTCTGGCATATCCATAAAATGTATGTGAATTATATTGTGTATGTCCATAAACTGCACTTTCCCTTTGAGAGTGTAGGGGGGCACCGGGCCAAAGCTGGTGAGTAGGTATATCACGGACGCCCCCTATTATTAAGGTTGCCCTACACTTCTGATTATAAGAATTTGTTTTCAGTTGCTCATAACTTTTCCTAACTTTGACCATTTTGGCTGAAATTTTCCATGCCAGGTATCTGGCTCAGGCTGCCATCCCCACAGACCAATGAGCATACTCCAGCCTGCAGTGCTGACCAGACTGCACATGTGCTATCCCCCACAGACCAAATACTCATGCTCCATCCCCTCACAGATCCTACGCGTAACAGGACTGTGTATGCTCCAGTCCAGGTGTACAGGGATTCAGAAGAACTTTCCTTATAATGGCTCCTCCCAGCTGCTCCGGGCTGGAGTGGAGCCAAGCACCATCACTGAGAGTAAGCAATTTGTTCCTGCTGTGCTTTCAATGACCCCTCTGCTGGGATGCAGGCAGTGTGGCAGAGGACGTTGTCTGATTCGAATACAGAGAGGATAAAAGCCAGACCACAGCGGGGTGGGAACGTGGAAGGAATAGACTGGGACAAGGTGTCTGTAAATCTGGAAATAGAGTGTGGTGGGGAGAGAGGAACTGGGACTACATGAAGGGAGGAGGAGACTGGAAGTTGAGGGGTGAGATTAGGATTCAGACAGGGAGTCTGGAGGGGAAGTCTAGGATGGGCTGAGTAAGGACACTGGGATGAGAAGCATGAGGAGTAGAGACTGGCCTGGGTAGGTTAAGAGAATGGGACTAGGACAAGGACCCAGAAGGGGGTGGGGGAGGAGACAAGTCAGTAGAAATGGGACAGAAGGAGCCAAGCTTGGGGGAAATGGGCAGAAGAGTCTGTGTACACTAGACCACACTCTTCTCCAGAGCCTGGAATGGAACCCAAGATTCCCGAGTCTCTCATTCCTCTGCTTTCAACAAAAATCTACAAAACCCACTCGCAAAGTGTGTCTCATCCCTTTCTAGGGTTGGTTCACACAGGGGATGACAACCTACTATTGTTATCATTTATGCTTTTAGCTCAAGTGGCAGAGGTGTGGGTGGTGGATCCACAGGGTGGGTGTCAATACGATGCCAACCTGATGGAATTCCTGTTCTTTAAGTTTGCTTTAAAATAAAATAAGTAAAAAAATATTAACAATGTTGCAAAGTCAAGCAGTCAAAAGATAGGAAATGTCCAAATTAAGGTTGTCTGTGGAAATCTAATTTGGTTTCCTTATACATCTGCATTATGATACAATCTTTAATTAAAGGATCACATGCTGTTTTTGATACAGGACCCATGCCACTTTCTGTGCACATGATGGATCTGCTCTTGTGATGAACTGGGCTTTGCGTAGTAAAGGAGGGTGTTGTCTACAGGTTCATTTGTTGAAGTTGGAATGCGTGTAGTGAAATGACGGGATTGCAGGAAGAGAAAGGATGCTAGGAAGCTGAATGTTGCCCTGGGAGGTGTGGTTTACATTTCTGCCTCTGCCACAGAGGTCTCATGTGTAAGACTGTGAATCATTCACGGAGGTCACAGCTTCTGTGACTTTCCGTGACCTCCATGAATTTTGCAGTGCTTGTGTGGCTGACCCCAGGACCACCCCAGCAGCCTGGGAAGTCCCTGGGCCAGCCACACCGGCCGCTGCTCTGGCAGGCCCAGGCAACTGGTCCCCAGTATTGCCCTGAAGCAGCAGGGCCCCGGGCCACACCCCAGCAGCAGTCTTCAGGAGCGCCCCCCTCCCAGCAGGTAAGATTTAGTCACGGGTATTTTTAGTAAAAGTCATGGACAGGTCATGGGGCCATGACTTCTTGTTTATTGCCCGTGACCTGTCCATGACTTTTACTAAAAATACCCGTGACTAAAATGTAGCCTTACTCATGTGATGCCAGGCAAGTCACTTAAGCCAAACTTTTCAGTGACTACTACCACTGTGTATTCCTCATTTTCTGCAGTTGAGTGTGCTCAGCACTTCTGTAAATTAGTCCCGAGTCTCAGGTTGTTCGCCCAGATACCATGATAATAAGGGCAACATAAAAATCTATTTAGAACGGAATAGCTCTGTGAACTTTCCAAACCACAGTATGTTAGGATTTCTCTCCATCTCCAAAGCCACAAACAAAACAAAACGATGATTTCTTTTCTCCACAAAATAATAGTATTGTTTTAAACAAGGCTTTCAGCCTTATGTCTCTCATGTCTTGTCTCCACTGACAAAACAAGGTAAATTTTTACCATGGGTTAACTAACATGCATGAGCTATCCTGCTGTAAAAATATAGTGGAGACAAGGCACTGTAGTTTGACTGCCATGTAGGTGAAGTCAACCTCAGGAAGGAGGTGCAGTGCTCATCTCGCCTATCTACCCTGTGGTAAACACTGCAGGTACCCTGTCTCCACCCAGGATTTTACAGAAAGATAACTATTGTGTAATTCTCACTGTAAAAAGACGCCTTTGTAAGGAGTGAAGACAATTCCTCAGTGTCCCCCAGATGTAGCGGTATTACAGCTTAACCCTGCACACACACTGATCTGATGGTCATAATCTCAGACACACGCACTCCTCCACCATACTCCCCCAGAACCTACCGCCACAAACTGACCTGATTTTTTCATTAACTTCCAAGGTGGAATTAAGTCAAACATGAGAGCCAAGGCAGGATTGGCATATAGCAGACAAGTGAGAGCCTACGCAACCCCTGCATGCCCCCTGAAAACCCTCACCATTTCTTTTGCAGCCCCCTATCAAGTGAGCTCCTGAACTCGGGTGATAAATAAGAAGAATAAAAAATAAGCTTTGCTGCTGTCCTGTGAGACTACAGGCTGTTGATATAATAAAGATTTATGTGCTGAGAAACAACAATCCCAAAGCAAAGTGTTCATGTAGAACTCCATAAAGAAGATTGATCTAACCTTGTAGCTAGAGATACTTCACCACAGCGCTTGTCAACATGGCAGAGGTTCACAAGGGGGGTTAAGCCAAAAATAATCCCACAGGCTCTAGGACTCAGTGGGAGTGAAGGAAGGGGAGGAAAGGAGATCCCTCCCTATCTTGCTGCTGCTGCTCCACCCCAATCCAATTCCAGTGCGACTTCTCAGCCCTTCCCCTCCACTTCCTTCACACCCCTCCCTCACCACCTCTCCACATAGAACTCAGCTGAGGGAGTAGAGAAGAGGACACTCAATGGGCTGAAGAGGATACTTTGGAGTTGATGCAGCCCCCAAAATTAAGCACAGCCAGTGT